TTGTACTGTTCTTGAATGGACTGGTTTTTAAGGTGAAGGTCCATTCCCACGACACGTTGCACGTATTTTATTACAACACGGTGCGAGAGGCCACTCCCCCTGCTGGATGGCTAATGCTTAAACAATGCAAGGAACTACTGAATCCATTTTCATAGCGATATGAGTCCCCTTGTGTGATTCTCATTTCCCTTCACACTGACTGCTTCCGTGTTTCTAATTATTTATGTAATTTATTTATCTATGAGAGGATATCAGAGCTGGGCAGAGCCAATTGGTACAGTTGACCAGTCGGGACTGTAGTTAGTGTGACAGATCGGACAAAACGAATTAGACGACTAATTCCTAAGACAGCTTTTAACACACCACCATACCAATTAAGAGTTTTGGAATGTAGCTTATGTTATTATACACACCTTAGATTGTCAGATATATTTGGTTTTAAAAATGGTGAAACATTGCACTCGAGTAGATCTTTATCACAGGCCATTTCTTTACAAAAGAGAAAAGAGTTCAGTCATTTGAGAAAGCAAATCTGACAACTTGATCAGTGGTGCTGAGAGACGAAAGATTGAGCAATTTGAAGGGACAGAAAAAAAGATTGATGTGGATGAGATGAATGTAAACAAGATGGATTGAAAAAAACCCAGTGTGGAATATTGTCTTGAATGGGGGAACTGGTCGATTTTGGTTGCCATGGCAGTCGCAAAGGGCCAGAGTTAGTGTCCACAAACGTAGGTCACTAACCAACATACCGTGAATTCCAGCTAGACGGTTTATGATTGGTTGAGAGCACCTTGGGGGCGGGGTCGCAGGGAGAATGAATGGGGGATCAAACAAGCTTATTGAGTGCTGAGAGACAAACCGAGGGAGTGGACAGAGATGGATGGATAGAAGAAAAGATGAAAGAACAGGACTGGTCCGAGTCGGGGCAAGGACAAGCACAAGAGCCGGCTGCGTTTTTGGTGTATCAAAGGATTCTTTCTTCACATTCTTTATCTCTCTTACACCAGCACAGTACAAAGCAATCTTTTTTAGTTTTTTTTTTAAAATAGACAAAATTGTCTCTTTCCAGTACAAACTGCCACACCAACTCCTTTCCCTTTTTCCTTCTATCACTCTCTTTCTATCTTCCGCCAGCCTTTGTTGCATTTCCAACCAAACCACTCCACTGTAACGCTCCAACTGTGTTTCAGAACAATACAGATCTTGCTATGGGCCCCTCATCTCTCTCTCTCTCTCTCTCTCTCTCTCTCTCTCTCTTTCTGCTTGCATTAAACTGAATGAGGCCCCTGGCCCCTCGGCAACCTAGGCCGGGTAATCCCGGAGCACAGAGCACCCGATGATCCTGCCGTACTGCATTCCGAACCAGTCACCCAGAACAACAGAGCCTGCATTAGCACTGAATTAAAACGGCAGAGGTTTCAGAGGCTAATGACAGTCATTTTAGCCAGCAAACGCAGGTGTGAGGGCTAGAGTGAAGGATGGATATTTGAACAGATCCGGTGGTCAGAATTTCATTAATTACCGTTTAGACTGTAGTATCAGGTGGTGAAAGCTACAAAAGATCACAGATCGAATGACAGAGATGTTGGTGGGCCTATTGTTGGAGTGTGTGTGTGTGTGTGTGGTTTAAATACACCATACCTTCCCTTTTAAACAGGTGAATGTGGAAAGAATGTTAACTTGAGCATTTCCTAGACTATTAACCAACATCCCTGCTTCTGTGTGTGTGTTAGAAGTGTGTGTTAAGGTCTGCGCTGCTGACTGCGAGCATTTCCTCAACCTCTCACCCCCCACTGATCATCCCCCCTTTCTCTGAGCTCCAACATTCCAGCGAGTGATAGAGTGTTGAAATGAGAGAGGGAGAGGGAGGAGAGACCAATTGATAGACAGACTTAGAGGGGGTAAAAAAGAACAACAACGACAAAACTTTGAACTAAAGATTAAGAGACCCGAGATTAACCCTACAGTTGCCCATTTAGCATCAGGTCAGTTCTATTGGCTGAGAATTCCACTGATATTTACAGGAAGATGAGTTCAGAATTAAAGAACTTTAGCTATTCACATTTTACGGTAAGCACGGACGTGACTCACAAGCACCCGCATTCATCCGCCAAGTTTCAGTCTTCATTAATGAAGCATAGAGGTCATTCATTCATTCACATTTTCAATCTAATAATTGACTCCGTACTCTAATAATCTATCTATAACTATTTTTTTAGATTTTGTTTATCAGTTTGTCACTGCTATGGCAATACAAGGATATTACTAATAAAGCATAGTAATTTACATGTTTAAGACAAAGAAAACTTTACGACCATTATAAGCCTCTTTTGAAGCCCAGGACAAAAACAGGACAAAGCATAAAGGATTTAAGTTCATCTATGGATGCTCATGAAGTTGAGCCCAGTATGCGTGATGAATGATGCAAGAATGAGCGAATGGCATCACTGTATGAATTAAGGCATTGATAAAGTAACTGTAGTGTTTGAAAGGACACTGTCGTAGGGAGCACCCGCTGACCCCTGTATTGAGACAGAGTCCATCCCCCACTGCTTTCTCCCACCCTCCCCACTGACTCCCAGCCCCCGGAGGCTGAGGGGGGGAGCAGCATAATTGCCCCCCTCTGGGACCACTTTAATTCCAGTCTTTGTGTTTTAATTGCCCCCCCTCCCGACCCTTTTTGATGAACACATTGGGGCCATACCACAAACAGATTTTAATCAGGGCTTTAACGGGTTGTGTGTGTGTGTGTGTGCTGGTGCACCAGATGACTGCTCCCAAGCATCTGGTGACAGCAGTTAAAGAATGTGAGACATAAATTATTATTGGCGGTGAGGTATATTTGCTTCATTCATCAAACAAAGATGCATCAGTATGTGACTGCTGTACACGGCCACCAGAGAATTGAAGTGTGTGGCCGGGAGTGCTAAGTTTGGCTTTATGTGTAACGCTGTGTGTGTAGCGCTATGTGTGTAGCGCTGTGTGTGTGTGTTTGGATCTGCAGTGAGTGAAAGCAGCAGGCCAATTAGAAGGGCTGTATGTGTGTGTAAGACTAGAAGGGGTCTGGAGCCAGATCGTCTGTCCTAAGACCAAGGGGTTCCCCCCCATCAACAAACAAGAAAAAGAGAGAGCGAGAGAGACTCAGCAGACTTTGATCATCGACCAGACGTGTGGATGTTGTCACACACCGACAGAAACACCCATTCTGGGAAATAACGCTACTGGCATTTACAGCAGACAGGGAGGAAAACTGAAATTCTCCAGAATCTAGGAGGATCGCAGTTAGTGTCTATGGCGCTCATGTTGGCCCTTGAGTTGTTTGTGATTCAATATTTCAACTGATTCTTTACAACGCTCCTTCATTATAAGTAATGGCGATGTTTCCAGTAGATGTTTTACATTTAGAAGCCACACAATTCAAGGTATCAATCACATCTTAAGGTAACCCGTGCAAGTTACAAATGTGTAGTACTTAGTTATTATTTTCTAAATGATCGTTATTGATTTTCTGAACAATTCATCCATGCATGTTTCATTAAAAAAAAATGATTCGCATCAAAATGTGATAACTCGATCTTCTGATGAAATTACAGACTTTTCTCTAGTTATGTATGCTGGAATTCTCTAATCATTTAGCCCACATAAACCCTGCCCTTTTTTTTTACCATCGAAGGCCTCCATCCAATCAACCAATTGAAAGAACCAAGACCCCGCCCAACATTTAGTCCCCCGCTAGTCCTTTTTACTCGGATGTACGTCACAATACGGAAGAAAAGATTTGAAGCTACTTCTGTTTCATCATGACTTTAAGGGCTAGGAAGCATCACTCACAAAACTCAGACTGCAAAAAATCCGACTCCACAAGAGAGAGATACTTTTGAGAGTATGAGAAGTGAACCTGATCACCATGCAAAAAGTTGCACCCAGGGAGCCCAAAAAAGGTTTTATAGCTCATTTTAGACCTGGCTGATGTTGAGCTCATAATGAAAATGTCTGAACCTGAGCTGAGCTCAGAAACGAACATATGGAAGCTAAAGTGGCATCCGATGATGGATGGATGTATAAATAAACGAGGGCTTTCTTTCTACCTCTGGCATTCTTCTATCAGTGGGCAGCACATAAACAGAGATAGCACACTGCCAGAAGAGCTACAGGAGCAGAACTAAGAATGAAGCAAATGCTGGAGAGAGGGAAGGAATGGAGAGAAGCAGACAGGCAGACTGTCTCCGCCGCCTCCCTCCGTGTGTCAAATGAAAGGGAGAAGTGTGGCGTAGACTGGGTGTGTATGACTCCATCAGCCGGAGTGCGTGTGTTTATCTGTAATGAGTAAGGGAGTGTTGACGAAACGCAGATTTATTTCTCTATTTGTGTTTGTGAGTCTGAGCGTGTGATTCTGCAGATAGTCAATAGTCATCACCTGGTGATGCAACCTGACAGATTGCAAATGTCTGCACAAATAAGACTCTTGCTCTCACGAGGCGAGCGAGATCAATACATTCACGCCAACATGTCCATGTTCCTGCCATTTTCACCAGTTCTGACCTATTCCCTGTGTACGGACAGCATGCGGTTCGATCAATGAACCGATGTTTAGAATAATCTTTATTCATGCATCTGTCCCGGATCATCTTCTGCAAAGAAATCAACATACTCATCTGTCTTTCCATTGTTCGCATTTTTTGGCTTTTCTTCCCCTCCGCCATCCCTTTGTGATTTGCCGTCTGGTCGTCTTTGAGATGGTATTGTAGATCAATGCGAGGGCAATTGAAAATGTGATTGCATTAGGCTTGGCATTCAAGTCACTCGCTCTGTGAAAGTTCTCTAAATGAAGAATTCATGTCACCACTGAGAGTGATAACGCTGGAGTTATTCTCGTTTTCTGCCGATCTAGATGATCTTGTCTCCCAAAATTGAGTTTTAAAGCTTATTTATGTATTTGCTTCATTGCATTGCTCTTTTACCAACAAATATTCATGAAATCCCTCTTATTCTCTCAGGTTCCGATGGAACAGCTATGCGGTTGAGGTACGCCTGAACGACTACCTAGACATCGTGTGCCCTCACTACCCACTGGGCGAAGTGCCGTCACAGGATGCCGAGCGCTACGTGCTCTACATGGTGGAACGTGAAGACTATGACTCCTGCCGTCCACAATCTTACGACCAGATGCGCTGGGAATGCGGCCACCCTTTCGCCCCTCACGCACCCGAAAAGTTCTCCGAGAAGTTCCAGCGCTTCACGCCATTCACCCTGGGAAAAGAGTTCCGACAGGGCGAGAGCTACTACTACATCTGTGAGTACAGCCCTTAAAAAGTCAGCTTGCACTTAAGCTATGAATGTGAACATTTATGGTGGATCGTTTTTGAAGAATGGTTAGGGGTGGAAATGTTTTTGAACATCTGAAAACCGGTTATAGATTCATTGCCCCACAAACCATACGCTGAATGCTAAGTCTGTGAGTCATATTTGAGCCCTTTTTTAGCACCAAAGTAATGAATACATTTCAATTTGTGTTGCGGACTGCTAAACTGGCAGCAGAACCGCTACGTGTCTTTCTGGCATCCCCACGGGCTATCCTTGGGGAGTTTGGGCTGTCGGAAACACAAGGAGCGCAATTCAGCGAGCATGTGGACTAGTATATGGAGGTCTAGAATTAACAATGGTGAAATTTGACAACCCAATATAGACCCTTCTAGGAAAGCGTACTTCTAAAAAGGCTAATTCTGCCAACACTGTAAAGTTAAGGGTGGAACGTTTGATGGATAAAATGCATTAGATCCGCTTTGATGGTGTGGAAAGATCCATGTCAGTTTAAACTCAAACACCAATACAGTGTTTTTCAAAAGCACAACTAAACCCAATTTTCTCTACTTTTTGACTTTTTGTCAATGGATTTGCAGCTCTGCCACAAACTCTAGTGTGTAGGTGCCTTAAGAATTAGAGTACACTTCCACCACTGTCGTAAAATAGATCACAGACACAGGTCACAGGTCCAGGTGGCTGCTAAAGAGAAGTGGATTAGCCACTACACGTCTAACACTATTAACCTCCTTTCTAATTAACCTGTCTGCTACCCATTTACCTCCCTATTATCCTTTTATCTTCCTCTATCCTGACGGCCTTCTCTTTTTTTGCCTTACAGCCAAACCACTGCACCACCACGGAGAGGAGTGTATGAGACTCAGAGTAGACGTAGTTGCCAATGATGGTGAGTATGCAGATCATAAAACTGCACATTTTGCATTTCAGTTGATCTGTGTATTCACTGGTGTTTTCTTCCATTCAGGTTCTCAAGAAGCCAGGGTTGGCACAGGAAGTGGATCTAAGGTGGGCACAGGGGCAGGAGCTCACACACCGTCTAATCGGTTACCAGCAGGTACGGTCACATCGATTCAAGTTTTAAGGGGTTAGTTCACCCAAAAATTCTGTCATTAATTACTCACCCTCATGTCGTTCCAAACCTGTAAGACTTCCGTTCATCTTCGGAACAAAAATGAAGATTTGTTTGATGAGATCTGAGGGAAAAACTGAAATGTCTAATATATTATTTCCATGTTACAGATGATCCTGTTGTGGCTCTTCCTGAAGTGCAGCAAAGCAAGCGGACAAACTCCGCCATTTCAGGAGCATCCTGGACTGTTCTCACAACCTTACTCCCCCTTTTATTGTTGTTGGTCTTACAGTGAGATTGGACTAGATACACTGGACTAAATTTCACTTACAAAAGACTGTAATGACGGCGGCCTGTGTCGATGGAAGCACACAGAGGTAGCTCTTTACATCCCAGTGCTGGCCATTGGGAGAAGCATACAGGAAGTGGAGTGGAGAAGCCTAACTGGAAGAAGAGGGCTTTCGGACACTTCTAAAGAAACAAAAAAACGAGACGTCAGTATTTTTCTGGAAATATTGTTCATGCAAAGGGAGATGTTTTCCCTTTTACCATTTTTTTTTTCTTCATATAAACGTCTGACCACTCAAAACCTGGATAAGAACAAACTGAAACAGTAATGCAGATTTGGAATTAGCATGAACTTGGAATATGGACAACCCCCTTTATTTGAGTGTCATAATGATGGGACGCAAGCCAAGAATGAGCCAAAGACCACAGAGCTTCTCACAGAGGAGTAGAGCGATCAAAACTATTCATTGTTTTCTCATGTTTTGTACATCCAGAGAAATAATTGAGTTTCGTATTAATTTATGTAGCATCAGCTTAGTGGGTTTTATTCTCACTGTCTCATGGTTTTACAAGACTGTGTGCTGTACCTGGACTTAACCTGGAAATGCAGTACAGAACACATACGTACCCCTTTACCGCCGAAATGGTGCTGGTGCCTGTGATGGGACATCTGTGGAAATGAACAGAGCGGTTCCAGATTGGGCGCCGGCACCCTGACAGCGGAAAACGGCGGCATCCGATACAGTTTACCAAACCCACTGACACACTTCCATTCAGAAATGCTGTGTTGTTTTTGTACATTCATTGTTTAAAGAGTTCGTAAATTATTAGTTTTGCTGCAGAACAAATTACTGTATATAGTGAGCAAAAATGTTTACTGTGTGATGGAGAGAGAGAGGAAATGAGACGTGAGAGAGGAGAAACTCGTTGGATTAATGTGTTGAAGTGTACATGAAAAAGTGACAAAAAGGGAAATTGGATTATTGGATAAATACACACATTTCCTCCCAAGTGTGTGTGGAGCTGTGATGGTATGTCCTGGCACGGTGGGCATTTATCACCACCCTCAGCATTTAAACTGCCAAGCAATCAATGAGAAGCACACTCTCACACAATCACTAATGTACACCTGGAAATGAACTTCATAATTAAGAACAGAAGTTTTTACTTCATCTAAGCTGTTCATTGGGTGGAAAGAAAAAGGAAATTCAGGAAAATATGTCAACTGATTTGTATCGGCAATTGGACTACACTAAATATTGCAGTTGGCCAAATTATATTTTTAATTTTAATAAATTTATGCTGGTACTGAAATCAAAACATCAGGGTAGCACATGTGTAATATAACACAGATATAAAAAAATTATAGAAGACATTCTAAATCATTAAATTGCATTATATGAACAGTGTTTGTTTGTGTGTGTACACACACACACACATATAAAATGCAATTCGATGATAGCAATTGAGATATTTGACATTAAATTAACATTTATTTTACATAATATTTAAAAAAAACATCCACCAAAAAAAAAAAAAAAGAAGAGACTGATGAATCCCAAAATGGCCAAATGTGGGCTGATTAACTGGCCTGTCTGATATACTGGTCTGTCACTACAATATAAGCTTAGCTATGTTGTTGTAAATCGACATATACTATACTATAAGGAACATTTAGTGTGGGGATACTGGACCAGGCTTACACACATTAATAACTCTAATCAGCTAAAGCACTATGAACGAAACACCACATACACTGACTCTGACATGATGTAGCCGTTTAAGCTCAACTCCGGACAGTTGTTCGTACGACTGGCACAGCTGTATACGATTAACGTTGGGTCACTTTGATTCATTTTTCCATTTTGTTTTTCTTTTTTTATTCTCGTATTCTTATTTTGTACATGTATTGTGTAAAATGTATATTATGTATATAAAGAGGATTATATAAAAAAAAGACCTTTGATAAAAAAAAAAACAGTTAATGTGAAGATTCTTATGTGAAAATAAATGATATTTTTTGAAAATGCGATTGTAGCCGACCTTGTTTTTTTATATATATATATATATATATATATATATATATACATACATTATACGTATATATACTTACATTTATTGCAGTGCTTTCAATACTTTATTCCTTAAAGTCACCATGAAATAAAAATGGACATTTCTTGTTTTTATGGAACATTGCAGTATTTATTATAAATGATTTTGTGCACATTGTTTGTTTGTTTTTTTATTCATGAGTTCTTTTAATATTTACTCCAAATAACTTCCCCTCCCTTTTGCAGCAACATCTCTTCTCAGACGACGTGTTTACTGGCGTGAGGGCGGGGCAACCTGTCACTCACATGAGATCGACCAATAGGAAACCCACAACCATCCAATCAGTTCCCAATGGACAAAATCAAGTCCCGCCCTACAATTTTCTCTTGCTCGAGAGTAGTTTCACTGGGATATACGTCACAATAGGGAAGAAAAGACTAACGCAACTTTCGCTTCATCTCGACTTAAACAATAATAATCTTATTATATTGTATATTTTGACCACTCAGCATCCCGGACCAGAACTATCTGAGCTCATTTAGAACAATGATAATTCCGAGCAAAAGCACATATTGTCCTGTTCGTGTGTCAATAGGATGAAGTGTTTTGTGTCTCAGGGTTTATGATTCACCGGTGACAGGAAAAAAATCACAATGGTCGGAGGTCAGAGGCATCAGTTTGACCGTGTGTGTGTGTGTGTGTGTCTCAGGAGGATGGCTCTTCCCTTTGTATTCTGGCTAAACTTGGAGCTTTGCCAGACGGCTCGGTAAACATACACACACCTCTTCTGTTATTGTTTGCCATTTTAGAAGCTCTCATTCGCTTCATTCCAATGTTGTGTATGTACGCATCAAGCTCAAACTATTTCAATATTTGTATGACAAACAAATATATTTCTAGGATTAATGGGAAGATTTGTTAATTAAACCAACATTTGGTCCTTAAGCTACTCCCTACTGAATGACTGGTTAATTTAGCTATTTTGGCGGCTCTTTTCCTCGGTTATAAATTGTATACGTTGTTTCTATGTGATTTTAATGTACATTGTTATTGCTAGAAAATTACAAATTCACCGAAATCACACTTGAGTGGTAAAATTTGCAAACCTCAGAAAATGAATAGAAAAAAAAGTTCTAACCTCCTTTCACTGACCATTTGTTGAAACTTTTTTCATGCTGTATTTTTATACCCTACTCATGCAGTATCGTGACCTTTTCTTTCGTTTTATATACCTATCAATGTCTCCGTCTCTTTCTGTGTCGCAGCATCTCATTTTCTCGCTCTCTCTTCGTTTCTTTCAGCCTCCGTTCTTCGTTTACCTTCCCTAAAGCTCTCTCTTTTTTCTCTCTCCGTCTCTCTGTCTGTCTCTGTCTCCTACACACTATTGTTCCTCCCTTCCTCCTGCTCATCTCCAGAGGCCTTTCTTTTCTTTTCTTTTTTCTTCTCTTTTTATGGCTGACCGTAAGAGCAGCTGTCACACTGCAGACTGGTTCCGCAGCTCACACCCTGACTGTGTGTTTTCAGAGCTTTGACCCCACGACTGTAAATCAGCCCCTCTCTTAACCGTTTGACCTCCTCTGAAGAGTTTAGGGAGTTTAAAGGGAATAAGTGGCACTTCACTAGAGGACTTTTGCTTTAAATAGTCATTATTGCTGAAGAGAAACCACAGAGTCAGTCGAAAGACCGACAAAAGGGGACAAAACGGGAGCCGGTATGAAAAATCATGTCTGGAGACAAAGAGCCCCGGGAAAAGGACATCTGTTTAGGTAGAGATACTAAAAAAGTTTGTTATAAAATAATTAAATAAAAAATTATTTAAAATATAAATGTACAATATTTATAAATATATTTAAATTATATTAATATCATTTATAATATTTGTATCTTTAATGCTCTCTTCTATTTTTAACTTCCATTTCACAGTTTTCACTTTGAACGGACGAGTCAAAAGTGTTTTTTGTGCTAACGGGCAGCGTGCAATTCCACAAATGTGTGCATTTTTCTGCAATTGAAATAGATGAACTTCAGCAGTGTCAAAGAGTCTAAAAAAAACAAGAGAGGCAAGATCTCTCCCTCCTTCCTGCATGTTATTCATCTCACTTCTGGGAAAAATGTTGGCCTTCTCTTATCAGCTTTCAATGTCTCCTGAAGATTAAGAGTTACTTACTTTTTTTTTCGCAAGATAATGCATTAAGTTGGTCCTGCACATCTGTTTCTGTGCTTTATGATAAATATGTTAAGTCCTTGAGCTACAAATACACATTGAGAGAAGGTTTGCATTTACACACACACACACACAACTTTGATCAAGAAATATGCTTAGCACGGTTTATCCTCGTGCAAGTTGGGGCAAATACTGTGGCTTTGTATCCCATTTCTGTTATTCATCTGATAAGACAAACACCATCCTATAGATTATGATAACACTTTGTCTAGTCATATTAAAAAAGGTCCTGTTAAACTGTAAAAAAAAAAAAAAAGTTGCTGAATCAATTTTTAAGTATAATCACCTTGGATTTGTCATTTCAACTTAAAGCTGCAGTCCGGCATTTTTCCTCTTTGTCGCCATCTCTGTTTGAAATCTGTAATTGCAGTTATTCGCGGAATTATTAACTTTGCGTGAGTTGCACATCGGCATGAAACAGCGCGGATGAACACAATGTTTTGAGACTGCGAGTCTGTCAGTCACCGCGCCGATGTGGAAACTGGCATTCAGAATCACACATTCTACTTTTGGAAGTAGGCCAACAGTATGACCATGACAACATACGAATTTTCATCGGAAAATGTCATCTGAACAAGTAAGTAACATCCACATCAACTAAGGGGGGGAAGCCTTGCAGTAAATCGTGCTGATTAAATATAACGATCGCGTCAAACCTTTCAAATTATACTTTGTTCTCAAATTATCAACATCAGCATTGTGACTACATTTAATGTGTATTATGATTACCCTGTAGTTCAGTTTCTATTTCTGTGCAGTCTAATTTCTAATTGTCATACCAATAAATTAATGTTTCTTTACTGGTTTTCTTTGAGAAAAAAAAAAAGAAAAAAGAAAAAACACGTATCTGTAATCCGATGCACATTTAAAACTATATATAATTTCGGAGGAGGCCGGTTTGGTTTGCTTGGAGTAGTTTTTGCTCCCTCTCATAGCTAGCACAAAATATTTACCATAATAGCTAAACGAATAAAGACAGGAAACTCCGTAACTGTGTGAATTAAGCGAACAAGTGTGCTACTGTTACACGATTGAACTATTGAAATGTCTTACCTGTCCTAAAAGAAAAAAAGCCGTCTCTGCGTCCGTTTTGAACCGATGTTTATCCTTGTTTTCGCGTGGGCCAGTTGCAGTCTCTTTTTTCTCTACCCACTCCAGTCCAAAGTCCGAATTATTTGGGGTTTTACAAGTGGTGAATGTCCAGTTGTCACTGGTGATTGTCTTTTGAACCTTTCTGGATCCGCCATAAGTTTAATTATTTAATGCTGTGAGAAAAGGCTAAAAATGTCCACCTCCAACATCCTCACGCAATATAGCCGACCGGGACGCCTTCTTTATGTGTACAGATGTGACGTAATGACGCAAAGACATGCTCGAATTTCCCGCGGAAATCCACCAGTACCACTGGAATTAAAAACATTATTACAAGCTAACCGTTTTGAATCGGGCAAAAGCAAGCAGATATTTTTTAACACTGGCTGGTTATGTTTTTTTTAATTATTATTATTTTGGATAATTTTTAACCCAAAAAAGCTATGGACAGCAGCTTTAAATCGACTTTAAAAATTGGTTAAACATTGTATAACTTATAAAAAAAAAAGTTTAAAATGATTTAACTTATCAAAATAAGCAATGTTAAACCATAAGTTGTTATATTGATAATTTGATTTTTCACAGTGTATGCTTTTTTACATTTTCAACATTCTTTAGTGTGTAATGTTGCTGTTTGAGCATTACAAAGCTCTGCAAAGTTACAAAATACTAAGTTCGGTCCAAAGGGAGTTATGCTATGTTCTATTTCAAGTGGTGCTCACTGCAGAGCCAAATTTCATTTACATCGGAAGAGGGATGTAGGAGCTGAGATTGACATCACACCTGAGTTGACATCGTTCCAGGTTGGAAAACTAAGGCCCCGTCCACACTACTGCGTTTTCGTTTAAAAACGGAGACCTTTTGCTACGTTTGCACCTCCCGTCCACATTAAAACGGCAAAAAAGGAGACCCAAAACGGAGAAGTTTAGTAACGCTGCCGATCCGTTTTTCGTTTTGAATCTCCGGAGGGCGTTTTAGTGT